TTTAAGGGATTCTGATTTAATTAATGGGTTTATTCTAGAAAAGAGGCAGAGAACCATGGATGTAACTATAATTTCACAAACAATGCAAAGTCTCCTATCCATTCCCCAGCAATAATAGTTCTTAGCTGCAGGTTAGAATCATCTGTAGAACTTATTAAAAAATACACATGTTGAGGGGCTGGCCTGGTGGTGTAATGGTTAACTTCATGCACTCCACTTTGGTGGCCTGGGGTTTGTGGGCTCAGATCCCAGGTACGGACCTAGCACTGCTCATCAAGCCATGCTGTGGCGGGATCCCACATAAAGTAGATTGGCACACATCTTAGCTCAGGGCCACTCTTCCTCACAAACAAACAAACGTTCAGACCCTGCTCTCAGAAGTGCTCACAGGATTCTAATGTACAGGCAGGGTTAATAACCTCTGTCCAATAATTGCTCTTACTCTCTCAGTTAAAATCAGAACACAAAAGGCTTCTAGGTTTCTCAGTCAAAGCTATCCTACCCACAACTATCAGACAGTCTTCCAAAAATAGTCTTTGAATTAAGTCTTTCACCTTCCCAGGAGCCTCAAGATCCTTAGCCTCTGAGGATATTGATAACTCTATCAACTCTAAACTCAGTTTCCTAAGGCCCTACAGCGTCTGGACCACCTTCCCTGGACAACTGCATTTGTGGTTCTGGGAACATCCCCAATTAGAGTTGTACTGTAGCTGTAGCCATTCTCATCTCTAGGCCTTTGCTCATAGCTCTGCGTTTTCCTTGGAATCCATGTTTTACTCTTGCTGCATGTCATCCTTCCAAATCCAGTTCTCTCTCAAGGTCTACGGACCAGATCCTTAGGAGCCCCCACCCCACCCTGCTATAAGTCAAGTGTTATTGTGTTTGTGATCACCACACTGCCCAGCTTAGCATTCCTATTGCTTATATCCTCACATTGTTAGCTGCTTGTGTCAGATATGTCGTATCTTATATTTCTTCCATGACCCACTATCCACTAGCCACACCCTCTATGAAGCCAAGCCAAGCCAAGCCAAGCCAAACCAAACCAAACTAGCAAAGCAAAGCAAAACAAAAAAACACCACTGATAAACCTTGCATAGGGATGGGCAGATAGTAGCTGCTCAGTCAATATCTGTTGAATAATTACAGTCAAAAAAGCAGATAAAAATTAGTGGTGAGAGTTGTACAACTCTGTTAATATACCAAAAATACTTAGTTGAACACTTTAAAGAGGTACATTTTATGTTACGTAAATTATATCTCAATAAAGCTATTATAAAAAATGAGGTGAAAAGTTCTATGAAAGACATTTTTGTGTTGGCTTTATTTTTCTAGCAAGAAACAAGAGATAAAGCATTCATATAAGAGCAAAATTGAATCCCACTCTGGGCGTGTTCTGAGGACTGGTAGTTTGTGGTCCTTCTTATTATATAAAACTTGAGAACACAGCCAGCAAGCTATGGCCCAGTGTATGTTTTTGTAAATGAAATTTAGATGTTTTCTGTGGCTGCTTTCTCACTACTAGAACAGAGACTGATGTTCCATGAAGATTAAAGTATTTATTGTCTGGCCTGATACAGAAACAGTTTGCTGACCTCTGCTTTAGAATATTACGTTTGAAGCTGTGTTGACTTGTGTCATTTCTACTGCATACTCTGAAGAGCTAAAATTCTTAATAAAGTCTTTCTCATGATGGTAAGGTTTTTTTGTGATGACCCAGGATGTAGCCCTGTGAAATTAAAGTCCTAAAAAATGAAGATGCCTCCTTTCTTCAGAGTTTCTGTTGATATAAGAAAGAGTATTTGGCTTTTAGGCATACTGAGCCCTTCTGCTGTCCTCACCTCCACGTGTCTGTCTTTGAAAGCCCCTCTCAAATCCCTCCCCCAACTCCATGAGTTTATCCTCATCCTTTCCTGAGAGGGAAGGCTCCAACTTTCTACCCCTCTTACACTTGATCTCTCTCCCTGAAAACACTTTCTTCACTGAACCTTTTGGAAATAATTTGCTAAATTTTCTCTCTAAAAATATTAACTGAACACTCTGCCCTTGAACCATTCCAGATGAGACAGACACAAAGATGAATATGACACGTTTGTGCCCTTGAGTTTACAGCCCTGTCCTCATGAAACAGCAGCCAGCTTTCTTTGACTCCTCCACTTTCCCTCTCATTCTCAAACTACCTGTACTCGATTTATACCACTTCACTCTAGGCACTGTTCTAGGTCAACCAGGGAAGTGCAGCTTACAGGGCAGAATCAATTACTGGGAAGGAATGTGGGTCCTGCGATCTGATACCTGCTTCTGGATTCTGGCTCCTCCACTGACTTACTGGATGAACTTGGCTTCAGATTCCTTATCTGTAAAATGGGAAAATAATACAAACCAGTTCTTTGAGTTGCTGTGATGGATAGGTTGTTTGGCATGAATGAAACTATCAAAACACGTTACTCATTTTTACTTCAACTTTGGTTGCTAATTCAATGCTTATTTATTAATTTTTGATTCAGGTAGTTAGGATGAGGTACAGTATCACAGGTTTTATATCCACATTCTTATTCTTCCAGAATCTTGTGAAGTAGTAGAGACGTACCAATTTATAATTGAACCAGAAAAGGGATATGACTTACCTTCAGTTCTAAAATTAAAAAGGACTAAATTCAGCTCTCTCACCCCAGAATACTGATTCCAAATCCATTCTTTTCTTGACTCACTCCTGGCATCATTCTCTTTCATTCTTATATGTCACAGATGTAGCTGTCATATAAAGGCCTTACTATTTGTAAAACCATTGACCTCACCTGATTGTTACTCAGAATTTTCTGCTACACAAATTATCTAAATTCTTCAAAGAGCGTGATTAGACTCAGCAAACTTTACTTTCATTTGTTATTTTACTCAAGCTTCAAGAGGCAATATAAATGGAACAAAAAGAAAATTTTAGGATCAAGTACGCTATGCATACTTGTCCCATAAATTCTAAGTGTGTCTAGGAGTAAAGGTCTGTGATGATCATGCACAGATGCAAAGAATGAACCAGATTTTCAACCATCTTCATTTGATTTGAACCTGTGGGGTTTTTTAATTCACTATCATTGTTATTCAGGGAACATACGTGATTTATGAGTGAATACTTTTGATATATTTAACCTGAAATCTATTGTTCAGAGTTGGTATATCAACTTCAGAGGAAATGTCCTTTTCTTTGAACAAAATGAAAATAAAAATGGTGTCTGGTTCTTTCCATGAATGCTGCCTCATACCTATATTAGTCATCATTTCTTGGACATCATTTCATTCCAAAGTAGAAGTCGCCCTTAATCTTAGAGTATCAGTTTAAAGCATGCATTTTCATATATAGATATTTGAGAGGTTTTACTATAGCAGATTTTGCAAGGTAGGTGGCCATATTAAATATTTACATCACCATATGTTTACATCTCATCATACTGGTAAACCCCACTGATCCCCAATTTTGCTACCTTCCCTCCATTGTGATTCAAGGTCTCTCTTCCCTTAATACAGTCTAACATGTTAGACTTTAGAAGCCAGATAAAATCAGAACAACCAAGAGGAGTTTCATGCTATGCTTTTGTAGTGTTCTAAGAAGGATCTGGAAAGAGAGGAAGATGAGCTTTTATTTAGTCCAACGCTTCATTATACTCCTATCCTGATTCCACCCGTCAGAGGGTACAGAAGTTTCCAGTAATAGGAACAATTGAAATACAGCTGATTCTTGCCCTCACCTGCTCATTCTGGATTTCAACTCTATGCAATAAGCCTGCAAACATTTCTGGACGTCCTAAGGGACATCTCATGGGCTCGCATACCAGGCTGCTCAATAGGAATCACCTGTCCTCTGCTAGGAGTCAGTGAGTCCGCTGGCCATCCATCAAGGTCTCCTGCCAGCCAGCCATAAGAGTGGAGGTCTGAGGAGGATGCCTATATGCCAGACTTCCGCTGGGAAATAAGAAAGGATGCCCTTCTCTTTAGATCATGTGTTGTTAGAGAGACCCCCTCACCAGATTGCCAAAATAGCAGGACATATGCAATTCCTGTTTACACTCAAACTGCTACATAGTTTCAGACTAGTGACTGAATGTAAAGACTGGCATAATGGTTTCAACTGGTGAAGCAAAGAGGCCTCAGGATTTGTCAAAAGGGGTCAATGAGAGGCTAAGCAGGTGGCTCTCTATTCCCTCCACTCTACTCATCAGAGTTTTATCTGTTTTATGCACTGAGACTCCAGAAAATTTTTGCTTAAAATGTTTCTGCCCTAATCAGTTAGTTTACATTTATATTTCATGACTTATATTTTAATCTCACACAAAATATTTTCCTTTTGGCAGAATACGTATGAATTTGTGTTATTGTAAAAGTGATCTTATGATACCTTAGGACTATATTTATACTTAAAGGCAGCACACCTATAATTATGTATTAAAAGTGATGGTGAAATGGACTTTGAGAAGGGGGAGCTACTTTCATGCAATTTTTAAGAGCTATACCTTTATGTAATATAAAAGTACTCCTTTATTTGAAGGTTTGGGCAAAAAAGACAGGAAAGCCTATTTTGTAATTATTGCCAACATCTAGGGATTGTTTAATGAATGTAAAATTCCTTAATATTAAGTTTTAATAATGGTAAAGCATTCGTCCAAGCTTTTTTTCTGAAATATCAAAACTGTCTTGGAAGTTGCAAGTCATCTAGTTTCAATGCATACCTCAGAACACTGCCTGGCCACCCTAATGGGTGGAAGGGCAGACAGATAAAGATAGATATTATAAAGACAGAGTGAGTAATACATTGCCTTATCCAGAGAGTCTTCAGAGTCCTAAATAGTTTGTTTTTTTTTTTAAGATTTTATTTTTTTCCTGTTTCTCCCCAAAGTCCCCTGGTACATAGTTGTATATTCTTCGTTGTGGGTCCTTCTAGTTGTGGCATGTGGGACGCTGCCTCAGTGTGATTTGATGAGCAGTGCCATGTCCGCGCCCAGGATTCGAACCAATGAAACACTGGGCTGCCTGCAGCAGAGTGCGCGAACTTAACCACTCGGCCACGGGGCCGGCCCCCTGAATAGTTTTCATTTACCATGAGTACGTGTGTTTTCTGCAGCGTTTTGAAGCTATTTAAGGTAGTTAGGTTTGAAAGAAAATAGAAAATTCACGTAGATCTAGTGGAAGATGATGAGTTGGGAATCAGAGAATTCCTTATAGAAAAGTGGCAAAATCTTACCCAAACCCTCATCGCAAATATGAATCCCCTTTCAACATCTCCAGCTCCTCCTCCAAAACTTCCAGTGATAGGGAAGCCCCTGAAAGGCAGGGAAATGCTTGGAATTTGGTGATTCGAGGCCCAGATTTGAGTTCTAGCCCTGCAATATGCCTTCTACTGTGAGACCCTGAGGGATTATTTAGCCTCACTAAATCCCGCGATCTTCATTTGTAAAAGAAATGCAATAGTGCTGTGCTGATCGTTCTCCATCTTCCCTTGTACCTGTCCATTCTTTACAGTTATCTCTCCTACTCTGTGCCCTAGAAGGCTGACCCGTTCAGAAAGCATCTTCCATGTCCACTTACTTACCAGCATCCCGTTGAGTTGGGCCAATGGGAGGCACCAGCAGAAGATGGAGGAGGGCACAGGAGAGAGAGGGCAGGGTACTTCTTTACTTCTCTGACTGCTCTGGGCTGCTAATTCTGGCTGCATCCCTCCCTGTCTACAGCTTCCTGGTCTCTTGTCAACAGCTTTGGCTCTTTCTGGGCCCCTGTACGGTTAGTTCTTCCCTTCCTTCTTCAGGCCTGGGAGTATTAAGGACTTCCCCTTCCTACTGTTGGGATCTCTGAGAATCTCAATGTCACTTGTTAGTTCCCTTAACTCTGCTCTTGCCTCTCTGTCAACCATCCCTTTATTAGAGTGTCTTCAACCACCTGCATTGGATTCCATGTTCTTCCTGTCTGAGCCAAGTACCTGTCCTCCTTCTCTCTCAGATGTGTGAAGAAGTTCAAATGCAATAATATATGAAAGCATTTTATAGATTCTAAGGAGTTATTCAAATGTTAGTTTTCAATTTTACTGCCCAAACTGCCCATTACTTTCTCATTTGGCTTTAATTGTTATTATCTTTAGCTTAAGTTTAGCTTGTTCATAAATTGCTGTAACGATGATCCGTCCACTCATGTTAAGAAGTAAATATAATCCCTGACAGCTCTTCAAATCCGTGAAAATAGTGGCATTTGCACCTAGGCCTTCTTTTCTCTGAGTTAATCAGTCTGAATTGCCTCAAACATTATTCATATGACTTGGTTATAAGTTTCCCTCCATTCTGGTCACTCTTTTGAACACATTCCAGTTCAAGATCATTCCTCTTTCACTGTGATGTTCAGAACTTAACTTGATACTACAGATATCATCTCACTTGGCAGTATTTCATCTTTTTTGTTTGTTTTCCACTGACCTGTTCTCTTTGTCTTTTCCACCAACCTTTCTCTGCAGCTTTTTCCTTTTTTTTTTTTTTTTTTTTTTTTTTAACTTTGTGTGCTAGGCAGAATAATGACTACTTCCCCAAACTGTGACTATGTTACCTTCCATGTTCGAAGGACCTTCTATGTTGGTTAAGGACCTTGTGATGGGGAGATTGTCCAGATGGGCTCAAAGTAATCACAGTCTTCCTTAAAAGTGGATGAGGGGGAGCAGAAGAGGAGATCAGAGTGGTGTGATGTGAGAGCTCGACTCACTGTCACTGGCTTTGAAGATGGCAGAAGGGGGCCGTGAGCCAAGGAATGTGGGAGGCCTCTAGAAGCTGGAAAAGACAAAGAAGTAGGTTCTCCCCTAGAGCATCCAGAAAGGAATGTTGGCCTGCTGACACCTTGACTTTAGTCCAATGAGACCCTTGTCAAACTTTTGATTACAGAACTGTAAGATAATACATTTTGGTTATTTTAAGCCACTAAATTTGTGATAATTTGTTATAGTGCAAGAGAGAATGAATACACTTTGTGTGGAACATTAATCTCACTTTTCCCTTTCTTTTCATAAGATTTGTCTCATCATTCCAGGATGTTGAGAATATCCTCAGTCGTGTTTCCCTTACCTAGTGTGTCAGCTTTCAGTGTAAGATTCTTTCACTCATAAATTTGTTCATCATGGTAACCATGTTGCTAACATAGATTGGCCATGTCAGGACCCTGATAAAAGCCCAAATGTTTGACATTTGGTGCTTCTCTCCCAATTAACACTTATGTATAAATCAGCACCATTTGTGACCCTACTCAACTGTATCATTATCCAGCTCCTGTTATTCATCAATCTTTTCCAACTAGACTATCAGGACAGATGTTAAATAACCTTTTTTTAGAAAATCAGAAGCATACTTAGATTTACCCATTTTCCCATTTACCACTCCAGTAATTATATCAGAAATTGATAACAAAGTAGGCTAATGAGAAATTCGGAACGCAATTGGGAAAATTTTAAAATCAAAATCCCAATCTCATCATTATGACCATGCTATAGCCTAATAATCCACATGAAAAGGAAAAAGACGCATTGTCATAACTTAATTGTTCTTTTATACCTTCTATTTCAATGGCTAGAGTGGATTTGTCTTAAGCCATTTTTTATACCTTGCCTCTATGTGGAAATGCAGGACTCCTGAAAGGGACAATCCTTTGGGAGCTTGCAGTAAGAACTCTGTTTAATAGTGGCCATCAAGGAAACAATTAGCTGCCTTGTTAACAGTGTAATGAGGGTAACCTTTGACTTTGCTGTGCAATGCTTCCCTTTGGACATTGGGGATCTTGTGGTCTCTTCTAAGCCATCCACACAAACAGGAGCAGTGAGATTTGCTCTTTCTGCTGGATCATTATTTTCTCCTTGCAAAGAAAGCCTTGTATTTTCTTCTAGGCACTTGGTTGGAATGGGATCCATATCACTTTGTCTCAAATGCTGAATGGTACTTACTATGTTATATGGAGAGCTATAAAGTTCTGTTCATAATAAATAGGGGAACTGCTTTTCCAAACCTGTTTCTCATTTAATTTAATTTAATTCATAATATTCAAATTGGGTACATGATGCTAATTCATGTTGAAAAGGTTCTGAGTTTAGATTACTAATCCTCAGAATGTGCCAGGCCAAAGAGGTTTATGATAAAAGATGTATTCATCATTAAAAAGAGTAGAAGAATTTAATTTTAGAATTTAATTAAATATTTAGCATCTTCATAGCTACTTCTTGAAATCCACTAGAGAAAATCTACTCAAGTCGTGTTTCCAAGATCCTGACTGATGAAAAAGTCCTTCCCTTGAAGGTTGGGGGAAAGATTGTCATTCTGTTTGGCTGACTCAACTGTAAAGTTACAGGGAACATCTCATGCCATTGAGAAGTGGCCAACAGTAAGGAATTTGGTGTTTGAAATGTTTAATCCAGTTTACATGCATTTGCAAATTCAGGCAAACACATTATAGCTTATAAAAGCCCTCTCCTTTTTTTAAGTTGCTGCCTTCATTTGGTAACAATTGATTACCATGTGCTAACTAGGAGAAGACACCTGCAAACCATATCCTTGTCCTGCAATTGATTCTACTTTAACTGTGCTTGTTCAGGTTGCAAAACCATTAGCTACTTCTTGATAGTTTTTATGATAGGACTTAGCACCTGGTATTGAGCAAGCACTGAAGAATACATCTTCCGTTAAAAGGTTGATTTATTAGTTTATATGTAAAAGAACACTGGAGGTTATAAAGGTAACAAAGACCTTAAACATTATATCGATTTTTTTTTCCCAGAGCTTTTTTCTTCTTGTTGTATTGCAGGGTAATAAAATTTCACTAGACCCATTGGATCCATAAAATCTGAAGTACAACCACCAACTGATAGAAATGAAATTGTTTGACTAGAGCGATAAGCAAGGACTCGGCTTTGAACTCTGAGCAGTATAAGTCTCTTCGTTGGCCCGTGAGGGTGAATTATAGCCCACTGTGCACTAAAGGACAAGCACGTATTTGCAGGAGCTCCCAATTCAGTAATCACTGGGTGATACAGTGACCTTTATGTGGCCACGGTGGCCTCCAAAGGAGGATTTTTAGAAATGGAAAATCAACACCATGCGTTTTTAAGAGAACTTGGATTTTTCCTTATATGAATTAAGTTGTGGATATAAGATATTTGATTACGGAGTAGACAGTTGCATAAGAAAATAAGTTCTGTTTGCAAATCTCAAGATATATTGTCTTTAAGACAATGAGCTTTAAAAAAAAAGAGGATGCAGAGCTGCAGGCTTATCATAGTACACTGTACTATCTTGTGCCAGACTGGAATTTTTTGGCCTTCTCCTCTGTGCTAGATACTGACCTGTACAAACCCTTGGCATGTGAACCATTGTTCATGCTACCTTTGTCTCTCTCTAGCCCCAGTCCTGCCCCTTTCAGCTCCCAGCGCTATGTCATTCAGTGTCTGAGGCATGGCTCCCCCTTAACAGTCAAGCGTAATAGAGGGACCTCCTGGAAAAGATCTCTGTGATGCACCCAGGCAAAGGGAGATTTCTGATTTCAATGGCAGAGGCTTGAGAACAACATGCAAACCAGGGAATAGTTGGAGAAGGTCTATGTTAAAGCCGCCCTGTTGCCATTCTTGTGGGTTGACATAGAAGGGATTAGAATGGGAGGTTCCCTGGCCAGTTAGCAGTTGTTTAAATTAATCTAGATAACTTCCCTGCAGTCTCAGCAGCTATAATTTAAAGGTACCCATAAGCAGTCTCATAGCTGAGGGGGCTAGAGTGGGAAGTAAGCTCACAATGACTCGCTCTTGATCTGTTTGTGTCAAAAAAAGAGCCATTCCCCAAGCCACTGAGGCCTTAGATTAAGGCCAGACCCCAGAAAAGCAGCTTTCTTCCAAAGGTACATCTTTCATCCTTTATTTTTTTGGAGTCTAGATTCAAATTGTCTACATTTTTTTATCTTTTTTTTATCTGTTTGTCAAAAACCAAGGTGCACTGATTGGTCAATAACCAGAAATTCGGTTGTTTTTTTGTTCTTTTTTTGTTTTGTTTTAGGTGTTTCATGTCACTTATTAAATGCCTTATTAACCCCAAACACAATTTAAAACCAGCTGTGCTAGCAAGGAGGTGTGTCAGAAGTTGTTAAGTTCTGATTGGTGGGATCGTCTTGTGGTCTGATAAATGTGATTGCGTGTTGTGCTGGTGCACGTCGGTGCCAGTTGCGAAAGTTGGACTGCTCTTGCAGTGGATTAATGTTGTACAGATTTTATATTTTACGTAGTGCCTGAAAGCCTATGTTCTAAATGAGTATCTGACCTGATTAATATCCAGCTTAATTTTGGAAATAAAATGGGCCACAGTCTCATATTTCTCCTAAAACATATATGAGTTTATTTACATTGTATGACTGCCATCCTTGTGTAAGTGAAGTGGGAACATGTCTACATTCAGCAGACCAGCGGTGTACATTTTCATGTTAGGTTAGGGTGGTGCTGATGGAGAGCCAAGTCAGGGAACCCAGTCCAGGTCAGCCCTTGCACGGTAGGGTCCCTAAACCTAGGAGGACAAATGTGATGCACTTGTGCTGCCCCATCCCATTTTAGGGCTTCTGCCAGACATCACTAATTGATTACCGCTTTCTTTATCAAACCGCAGAATGTACCTGAATTCCAGACAGCCACTATCAGTCACTCACTGCTGTCATACTATTAGGAATCCAACTGCTTTTTGTCACCCTTACCCAGGAAGGTCTCTTTCATGGCCATTGGGCAGAGCTGTCTTTGCTGCCAGGAGAAACAGTCATAGCTGTAATGTGGACCACAGGATACATACCACATCTGCTAGCCCAGCCACATTATCCCAGCAAAACAGTGGGCTAAATGATTACCTTGCCACAAAATGCCCATTTCCCTTGTGGTTGAGTCAGTGCTAAATACATCTGCCTTAGCCCATAGAAATGACCTAAATGCTATAACAAAGCACAGCCAAACCCCTGCCAGGAGGACCCTTGGAAATCTAATCAGCAAGCAGGTAGCACTTATCTTCCTGACTGATGTCTAGCCATGCTTCTATTTCTGTATCTGTCTAGAGCTATACCTATCTAAACCTTTGTTATTACTGGTGATTCCAGGAGGGTGGGAATAGCCTTTGAATGGAGTAGAATTTAGCATCAAACCAGTGAAAAACACCCTAGGTGTTCCAGGGACCATGAGCTGTGAGGCTGCACACTCTGGCCTAGAATACCTGTAGGGCCTGTTGATTCATCTCAGAAATCCCACCTCCTGATTTTCCCTTATCTCCTGTTCTCTTCTCACCTAAATTAATCTCGATCTTATTGAAGGGGGAGAGGAAATTAACATGTTCTGACCCTCTGCTGTGTTCAGGATCTTCACAATTGTTTCATCTAATACATACAATGACCCTGAGATGGGCATTATTAGCTCATTGTTCAGAAGGGACAACTAAGGCTTATAGAGTTTATGGCACTTACCCATGATCTTCACATTGTTGCTTGAATTTATTAATGGCAGAGCCAACATTCAAATTCAGGTTTGAAAAAAAAAACCAATAAAGTATATTACCTTTTCCCCTTTTAACAACTCATGAAAAAATAATTCTTCACAACGTTTTTCTTTGAAAATGTCATCAAAATCTTCCTTTGGCTCTAATAATCCAAATCTTCATTCTGGTTTATGAAAGATGCAACTTATTTCATGGCTTTCTACTAAAGAGTAAATTTTAGAGAGTTAAAGTAATTTTCTGGATGATGCAAATAGACCAACTATGAAAGTTTCTAGGGAAACATGTCAGTGATAACAAATGGCATTGCTATGCAGTCTGATTCGGTGCAAAATCATCCTGTTTACATGGGGCTATCCCTCGTCTCCCTCCCCCCACCAGCCTCATCTCTCCCCTTCATTTTACCTGACCAGTCTCAGAAAAGGTGAGAATTAGATGTGTGAAACCTACATGATGACCCAAGGCGCTCTTCTTCTGTCTCCATCTCTCTAATCCAAATTAAGCAACATGGTCTTAACTCATCCTACATGTGGGTGGGCTGCCAACATTTGACCTCAGCAAGACACACTAAGTGGCAGAGGATACTTGACTGTAAATAAAACTCCATTTAGGTATGACTTTTTAGAAATTGGCAGAATCACATCTCTGAGCTCGAATGGCATTTTGAAGCATTGCTAATTCCAAGAATTTTTTTCTCTGTTCAAGTTACTCTGAGTAGTCATTTTCATTTGCCTGTCTGTTCACGATTTTATGGCATGTAAGTGACAAGCACTCCCTGTAACACATCGTGGGAGGGCATCCACTAAAAGAGAGCTCAAGCTGAATGACATTGGATGTGAAATGCAACCTTTTTCTGCCAGGCTGTGTGATATTTAGCATGCCTTGACATATGCTAAACTACCAAATTTCGAAACAATTGGAAATCCCTTAGGAATGTTACATGGAATATGTGGGTCAGAATTCTCTCATGATTAGTTAAAAAGTCTAAAACATTTCCCACAATTTCAAATCAATATTTTATGTGAACTCTATCTGTGGATTTGACATATTGAACCTGACTTTATAGTCTTAAGTAGTGACTTTACACTATTGGGAAAGTCATTTATGGTAGATGTTCCTAATACCTGCTGTCTATTGAAACCAACTTATACATTTTAATAATGAGATATTGGTATTTTGAAACATCTAAAAGTAAAAGAATTAGTGGTGATAGGTAATGGGATCATACACACACACACACACACACACACACACATATATATATTTTTTTCCCCCCCAAGGAATTCCAGGCACATGGCTATTTGTTGTCTTTCATATCCAACAGATACATTAGTAATCCATTAATTTTTCTATAGTGAATTATTTTCAAATCACTTACTGAGGTTTGGGGCCATGTTCAAAGGGCATGTATTTTACTTTCTCTTTTAGATGAATATTTATTTATTTTGCTAGCATTTGATGGTTATGTTCTTCTTACTTATATACATAGTTTAATTGAAATCTTTGTACATACATCATTAACTCTTAACAACCCCCAGGAAAACAGCATACCTGTGTTCAGGGAAGCAAGGAAAGAAAGTGGGAAGGAAAGGGAGAAAGATATCAAAATTATTTTAGTCCTTGCAGCTGTGTGAAAATTGCTCTTTTCAAAACTTCAGTGACCTCCATCTTGCCAAATCTGTATGTCATATCTTTTTGATTTTTAGCAGCATTCAAACCAAGTGACTACTGTGCCTTTATTTAATCAATCTTTCCTTCCTACCTCCTCTCCTTCCTCCTGAGACACTATACCCTCCTATATTTTTTGCTAACATTCCTGGCATTTCTTCCAAAATCACTTTCCTGGAGCTTCTTCTGCTTCTGACTTCTAAAGTTTGGAGCCCGGGCTCTTCTCTCTCTATATTCATTCCTTAGCAGTTCTCTTCTATTTGTTCCTAAAGCTTTAAATGCCTCCTGTCCACTGATGACTCTCAAGTTCATAACTCTAGCCGTGACTTCTCTGAGCTGGAGCATTTGTGTTTGTGTTTGTGTGTGTGTGTGTGTGTGTGTGTTATATAATAAGCAGCTCAAACTTTATATATTAAACCTGGATCATTGGTTTCTATACTCAAGCCTGCTTCCTCTCAAACTGTTCTGCCCCTATCATCCCCATCTCAGTGCATGTACCACCAATTTCCCTGTTCCGTAAGCACCAAACCTACAAGTTATGCTTGTCTCCCACCTTACATCCAGTCCATATCTAGGTCCTATATATGCTTCCTTGAAAATATTCCAATCTGATCATGTTCACCAGTGCTACCAGTGTCAGCCCATAAAGTACTATAAGAGCTTCTCACTCGTCTTTCTGCTTCTACTCTTTCTTTATGGGGTCAGTTCTCCATAGCTCTTGCCTTATGTGTCCTAGTTCTCCAGGAGCTGGGACGACCTTTAACAAATACAAGTGAAAGCATACCATGTTTTTGGTCCTAACCCTCCAGAATAGAATCCCAGAATGAAATCCCATGATGAATCAATCAAGATGAGCTAGTTTATCCTACAGTAACAAATGATCTCAGTGGTTTAAAGCAACAGAGTTACCTCAAAAGATAAACATAGAATTATTGTATGACCCAACAATTCCGCTCCTAGGTATATACCCCAAAGAACTGAAAACAGGCACTCAAACAAGCCACATATCTTAATGCCCCAAAGTGTTTCTCCCTTACTTCTAAGCAAAATCATTTTTTTCCTTTTCTTTCTAAAACAAATTCCTTATTAAACAGTAGAAGGTAAACTTGCTTTCTTTTTTAAAAAATCTTCTGAGATAAAAACTCTTTCTGAACAAAATTACTCTTCTGATTTTACATTTGTCAGTGTTTTATGTAATAAAAAGAGCTAACATTTTTTAGGTGCTATTTATGTGTCAGAGAAAGGGTTGAGCGTAATCAAATTTATGCTCTTAATAGCCCTTGGAGACAGGTGTGTGATTATCCTTATTTTACTGCTGATGAAGTAGGCCCAGGGAGGTTAAGTAGTTTGTCCATGGTCACACCATCTATTAAGTGACAGAACCGGTTGGAGTTCAGACTCTTGACTCAGGGACCAAATCTAATGACTACATTATACTGGCTTCCCTTGTATACCGCCAACAAATGCAAAATCCATTTTCAGCCACTAAATTAACAAAAAAATCTGATGTGAACAAGAAGGGCACACATTTATTAGGCAACTGGCCATGGGTGGAACTCAATATTTTGGGGGGCAAACAAGTGAATCCAACCCTCCCTCATGCCTATTTTGTGAGCCCCATGCTCTAAAAATTACTCTTGAAATTCAACGACAGCAAATTATATGCATTTTTTCTTGATTAAGCTAATTCACTAAGCACTTTGCATAAGAAAGTGGCTAAAGAGAGGACTGTCCTTCCATCCACTCCAATTCAATAAAGCCGTCAAAAGGAAGAGGTCAAAAACAAATGGCAGATTTTTTTCATCCTCCTTTTCAAATCCTAATTCCAGACAGAAATCATTCCAAATAAAATGAGAGAGGACTGTCAGCAAGTTACCTGGAGGTGGAAGCTGAAGGGGCCCTCCTAGAGGCGGGTGAAGGTCCTTTCGGTGGTTCTCGGGCTTAGGAGCCTTAGCACTGTGATCCAGGACTTGCTGAGCTCTCAGAAACCCACCTCTGAGTGCTGTCTCTCACCCTCTCTGCCTTCCTTTTGGTTGTATTTTCTTTAACTCTTTGCCAGCGATTATTGAAAGTACAGTATTCATCTCTGTGTATAATCGGCTAAAATGGGACAACTTTTCAAGTTTTATAATTCAGTGCAAGATATTGTCTGGCTTTATAGATTCTAAGATTATACACCATGCCAAAAGTGTGGTTTTATTGACAAATGAGTGCATTTATCTGTCATGAGCAAGAATTAGCTTCAGAGTATGTGGAAATAACTTACTAAATGGTATATGATTTGAAAGAGGCTAAAGCACAATCTCACCACCTGTGAAAGTGCTGACGTTCTGTTACTTTATTTGGGGTTGTGAAAGGGTTGGGTTTCTATAGTAGATAGGTACCTATTCCTCGGTGGAGCAAGAGTTTAGGTCCTCCTGAACTAAGTTCTTTCTTGGAGCATCGTGAATGAAGAGCTTCTGAGAAGAACAGTTTATAGAAAGAGAGTTCAGATGGGAAACGGGGTGGCAGGCAGTGGGAGGAGGGCGGCGATGGAAGGCAAGAGGAAGTCTCCCCCAAGGATCAACTTGCTTCGCAAGCATGCCAACATTTGCTAGATCCTGGGTGCGTTTCCACTCCACTGATGGAAGGCTGCTTGAGACTTCTCTCTTTTCAAAAATGCCTTGAGGAAGAAATTCAGTCTATGCTTATTGTATTCAAATGATTGCCATTCTTCTGGAACATAATTCCAAATATTCCTGGTCTTCTAGGGTCCCTTTTTGAGTCCCTTATTTAGTCAATAAGCTCTCAGCCTCTTAATCTCCTCTGCTATGCACTGAATGACCAGAGTGGCCGTTGCTGCCACCTACAGAGCTGCATGTTTTGCCCCTTATGGAGAAAAAGAAAATTGTGTCCAAGCTGATTCCAGGATTCACAGCATCTATGTTAAGTGTATTACCACCTTCCATTTGCAACTGACAGGATTACCCTAGGAATTCTATTTTGTCAGGTATTAGATACAATATTAATAGGTGGCAGGCCATACCAGAGGACTGAGGGCTCCACTAAATTACTGTGAGGGAAGCAATTTGACATCCTTTCATCTTTTGATGGGAGCTAACTGTGAAATCTAGGTGTAAACATCTAAAAGAATGGAAAGTCACACATGGAGGGGGAGACCTGGGGGGCTGGCAGGAATCACTACTCAGAGAGGGCAAAGACTGAGGTGGTATTGCAATTTAACGAGATTATTTCTTTCCAAGATTAATGCATCTGTGGAACTACTTGGCCTTATTCCTGGATCCTATCAATTTACCAAGGACATTTACACAAATGGCTTTTGTAGTCTTACTGATATTGGGGCTGGTGACACTGGCCCAAGAATTCAATTTCTTCTATTTGCGAAGATGCACAGTGCTGGGGAGCTTAGGCAGCCCCACTTTGGGTTCCTTAACCCATTATTATCTGTTGCTTTAAGACTGACTAATAAGGATGACACACATGACTTCTACTCCTCTATGCCTTTGTTCAGTGTTTCTTATAAACTCAAAAGCAAATGCAAGGACATGATCAGATATCTCCTCCTCTGACCTTCCACTCAAAAATATACTTTCTTTAGCCTCATCTTTTCTCCCTTCCTCAAGACACACATGTAAAATAGTATCATCATTAACATCATCATATTTCTCTATATTGTTTGTTAATTTTTTTACAGATATATCTTATTTCCTAGATTAAATGGCATTTTTCTCAAGAGTGAATCTTTGTCATCTCTGCAATACCTAGAAAAACAACGTTAATAGTAACTAGTTAATTGCATGCTTACGCTAAGGTAGGTGCTGTGTTAAGTACTTCATTTATTCCTTTTAACCCCTCTTGAATTTGATATTACTGTTTTCTCTCCTTTTTAGATGTGAGAAAAGGGGCTTTAGTATAGATTGCCCTAAATCACACCAAAGGAAACTCAAAGGAGTTTGAAGTTGGGTTTGTCTTCCTGAAGAACCACACTGTACTTCTCCCTTAGTAGATATGTGCTCTGGAACAAACTTCCTCAAGCTTTGTGGCTTAAAACAACCACCCTTTTATTTCTTTGCCCACAGTTCTTCAGGGTGGATACGGCTTGGCGGGGACAGATCATCTGTTTGTTAGCTGGGGCAGCTCTACTGGGTACAGAGGTCCTGTCCAAGGTAGCCTTGCCTCCGTGGCTGGCAAGGTGGTTGTGGCTGCTGGCTTAGTTCTCAGCTGGGGCTGTTGGTTGGGGGCCTCAGTGCCCCTCCACATGGCCTCTCTTTAGGGTGAGGTTGGGCTTCTCACAGCATAAAGGCAGGAGATGCTAGGACTTCTTAAGGCGTAGGCTCCAAACTGGCTCAGAAAGACTTCCAAAGCATTCTTTGGTTAAAACAGGTGACAAGGCTGGCCAGATGCAAGGGAGGAGACCACACAGAGCATGAATATAGTAGTCCCCCCTTACCTGCAGTTTCACTTTCTGCATTTTCAGTTATCCATGGTCCACCATAGTCTGAAAATACTAAATGGAAAATTCTAGAAATAAACAGTTCATAAGTTTTAACTTGCCCACTCTTCTGAGTAGAGTGATGAAATCTTGCTTCGTCCCGCTTGGTCCTGCCCAGGACCTGCATCATTCCTTTGTCCAGTGTATCTGCAGAGTATACAATACCCGCCCATTAGTCACGTAAGCCCTCTTGGTTATCAGATCGACTGTCATGGTATCATGGTGCTTGTGTTTAAGTAACTCTTATTTTGCTTAATATTGGCCCCAAAGCATAAGAGTAGTGATGCTCGAAATTCAGATATGCCAAAGAGAAGCCATGAAGTACTTCCTTTAAGTGAAAAGGTGAAAGTTCTCAACTTAATGAGGAAAGATAAAAATCATATGCTGAGGTTGCTAAAATCTACAGTAAGAATGAATCTTCTATCCAAGAAATTGTGGTGGAGAAAAAACAATTCATGCTAGTTTTGCTGTCACACCTCAGATTTAAATGTATGGGAAAGCACATGGTCTATATAGGGTTCAGTACTATCCACAGCTTCAGGCATCCACTGGGGGTCTTGGAACATATCCCCACGGATAAAGGGGACTACTGTAATGTCAAGCATGGTTCCCAGTAATGGTTCAAAGTTAACAGTCTACCACACGAAGATACCAAAACAGTTTTTCATTATATTTCGATATCATCAAAGAATCCATGAAGTATAAATTTTATTACTGTATCCAGGACTATAATGCAGACAGAGAAGATAACAGCTTCTGCTTCTGCTCAGTAGCACCTGGTACCCCAGAAGTTCACACAGAAACCAAAATAAAGACAAAGCCAATCCAATTGACAAGGCAGAGTGATGCTTTAAACATACCACACACAAGGTGACTTGGCGTGCTCATTCTGTGAGTGTTTTTAATAGCAACAGTGACCAGAGTATGCTCCATCCTAATTGCTGGGACGCATGCCCCTTTATTTTAGACACTTTAATTTGCATGCCTTTCACAGGATAGGGAAACAGTACTCAAATACGTACTCATCCTTACCTCTAGGTGTAAGTGAAGAAATAAAAATTGGATATGCTGGTGTCAGGTTACACGTGGAACAAGGGCTGGGGGTGTCTGGATTAATGTGCTAATTTATTCCAAGAGCAGCAATAAAGAGTCATGTAACTTTTGATTACATCCTGGGTGTCCATTTAGGGAAGTGGATCTTCAGGTTTTGTTTCCAAAATAGATTGCGTATTTTCAGTGCTCATTGAAAGAAACAAGGGAGAGGGGGTGAGAGGGTGCTCTGGCAGCCCTCATTATTTATAGTTGGCGATATTGTTAGTGTTCACCCCACGGAGCACTGAATCGCATCTAAGCCCGTAATTTCCATATCTTTGGAAAGCTTTTAGCTCCTCGCTGCCTGTTGGCATGGCAACATGACAAGAGTTATGATGTCAAAACCACATGAACTCAAGATTGATCTAAAATTATTTGGGAAACTTGCCCATTTCAAATTTCCATTGAGAGAGAGGGAAAGAAAGGCCACGTGGCAGCTTCATTCAAAGAGAAAAAAAAATCTTTTTTTTCTCAATTGCCCTGAAATAAATTCTCTATTTTCCTTTCCATGTAATGCTAAAAAGATTACTGTCCTTCTGATGTTTTTGTCATTTTCTTTCAAATTCAGATATTTTAATCTCCTTTTCTCTTTTTATTTTTTTTTCCTGTTCTGATTGAAATCAGTGGTTGATGCTAGCCTTCTTTTTAGGCTACACATGAAAGCAGGGCAGGCCTGCAGGCTGATGGATGTCCTCTGCAATTGGCAGGTGTCTCCTGAAGTGAGGGTGGCCTTGAAGAAACGTTGAGAGTTGGCAGAGATGTCAGGAGATACCAAGAGCTACTATCTTTTGAGTATTTGCTGGCCACAGGTGTTATTTGCTGCATGTAGAGGAATAAACTGAAGGGTCACACTGATGAAGTAAGTTACTTGAGACCAGACATTGAGAAAGTGGCTGAACAGAGATTCATTGAAAGAAATACCTGAGCTTATTAACAAGAGGAATATGATGTCCTCAGGTGTAAATAAGTGAAAAACGTATGTATAAAACTGTGTTGCCTTGGGAAATTTATTTAACCTGGTTTCTTTATCATAGCCTCAGTTTACCAACTTGGAAAATGAGGATAATCTTAGGAACCTCCTGAGTTTCTAGTTTATGTTGAAGATAAAATATGAGAACTCAAGCTAAAGATAGAGCCCGGTCTTTGCATGAAGAAGATAAAGAAATGCTGATTGCCCTGTAGAAGTGAATAGATTTGTATGGGATTCTCAAAGATTAGAGGGAAGGAGCAACACATTCTTGTTTCAAGCATCCCTTTCTCTCTTCCTTAGGATGCAGAATTTCACCATAATGCTGCACTTTGGCATATCTACTTCTGCTACCAAGATAATTTCTTGTCTCTAACCAAATCTTAAACTGACTGCACTGAAATTAAATAAAATTCTCCATCTTCAACCTTCAACATTATTCCTCAGCAGGATTCATAGTCAAAGGAGAGTTTGAAGTTGGAGGAAGTTATTATTTTTTTCTGTTTAATGTTAGGTTCACATTCACATATATTTTTGCACAAATTTTAATTGAGTGCCTACTATGTGTTAGGCACTTTTTTAGGCAAAAGCTGAAAAAAAATAGACAAAAGTCCCTGGCATTGGGGAGCTTCTATTTTTAGTGTGGGAGATGGATAATTAAAAAGTATAAATAAGTAAAACATATACAATGTTATTTAGTAAAAATGCTAAGGAGAAGAAACTAATCTGGGAAGGAGTCAACTGAGCACAGGAGGCGTCAGGACTGAGGTTGAGATTTTAGATCAGGTAGCTCCAAAAGGTGTAACTGAGGTGACTTGTCATTCAGGTATCTGGAGGAAGGAGCATCAGGCCAAGCAGAGGGAACAGCAGGTGCAATGGCCCTGAGGCTCAGTGTGTTCAGGAGCAGCAAGGAGACCGATGAGCTTGGAGTAGAGTGAGTCAGAAGGAGAGTTGTAAGAGATGTCTTATTTTCTGTCCTTATAACACCTTCAGGTGGTAGAGAGCACACACATTAATCATCTGAAACAAATAAATAAGTGACTTGCCTAAGGTAACAAAATGAGTTTGAGTTAGACCCAGACTTGGGACTCCAACCCCAGCATCATTCCACTGGAGCCTGATCTTCAGCTGTTCTTCACAATTGGAATCATTTTGAGTCACAATATCACTGTTCACTCTTCAGATATATGAGAGGAAAACATTCTAAGCCTTTCTCAACTGTGAGCGTGTTTCTGTAATAATTCCGTATAGATATAATGAATGCCTATCTCTGTATAACAAAGATTTTTCCTTGCTGCTCCTCACTAAGCTATGAGAAGAAATTCAGGCCAATTGAGCAGGAGATAGATGGTGGCCGAGTAAGAATTAGACCACAGACATCTGTACGCTGGAATTGAATCACGATCGGATGTGCACAACCTGGTCTCCCAGAGCTCCCCATCCTCCTTCTTGAGATGTGAGTAGCTTCTCTCTCCCCACTCAGAGCCTTCGCTTTCTCTGGCTGGCCGCAGAAGTGCATCCTTCAGGCCTTTTCATCCGCACAAGTTCAAGAATTGCTTTGCCAGTGGATTAACACTTTTATTTATTATTTTGTTATGTGTTCCATACATTTTAGGTTAAGCACTTATTAACTGCTTTTGTATCAGGCATGGTTCCAACATTGTTACATTTTAACCTCACTATGACCCTGAGAAGTATATTATCCCTAGTTCATAAATAGTAAAGTTTTGAGAGGTTTAGTAAATTATTCCAAAAGACAAAGTATAGTACAAATGAGCCAGCTGTTTGCTTGGTGTGGAGAAGATGTTTACTTGTAGGTGAAGTGTGGCCATTTCTTCTGCCCCCTGGGTATAGCAAGGGCAACACAGAGAAGATCAGCCACACTTGCCCTCTTGAAGGAAGAAGGGCAAAGCCTTATAGTTTGGTGGCGCGTGAGATACACTGTGGCTTCCTGCCTTGCACTGTGACCAAAATGTTTGCGCGTGAGGTACACTGTGGCTTCCTGCCTTGCACTGTGACCAAAATGTTTGCGCGTGAGGTACTCGTGGCTTCCTGCCTTGCACTGTGACCAAAATGTTTCTTAAATATGAGACTTGTTCTCATGGTTCTACACTGATGCCTACGCTGATCCACTGTAGAGTTCCAGTTCTTTTTGCCCTGTGGTTTTGACTTTCTAATGCACATAGTAGAACGTTTGGCACTTAAATGCTCTAAATACATTTAAAGTGATATTTCACAGAATTTTGTTACTAAAAGGCCATTAGTGAATAATTGGGGATAACTTTTCCCTAATTTATTTGAACCTATGATGGTGGTGAGTGACGTGCATGCATTCACACACGCACACTCCACTTTTCACTCTTTGATATCAGTGATGGAATTGTCTTCTAGACCCAGGGGCGATTTTGCACCCCAAGGGACATTTAGCAATGTTTGGAAGCATTTGGGGTTCTCAAAACTGGGGGGAGGGGTACTACTGGAGTCTAGTGGTTAGAGACTGGGGGTGCTGCTAAACACCCTACAATGTGTAGGACAGCCCCCCATGACAAGAATTGTTCAGCCCCAAATGTCAGTAGTACTCACCTAGATTTGTCTATTTTTTACATTACCATATTTACGAGAAACTTTGATTTGGAATCATTCTATCCTCACAGAAAGTATTTTTGTTCTAATGTCAAAAAAATTTTTTTTAAACTATGTGTATTACCACTAGTGACAAGGCAAACATATCAACACTATTGGGGAAAAAATGTAGATTTTTCTCTGTTGGAAACCTGAAATTTGACCCTCTTAAAAAATGTTGAAATCAGTTGTGTTTTCCTAGATTCTTTTCTTTTCTTTTGTTTTTTCTTTTTGATTTTCTGCTCTTTTAGACACAGTAAGCTTTGCCCGTCTGCAATGTGAAAAATTATCTCATCAAAGAGAACTGGATCCTTCCCAGCCCCGATTCAGTTTATCTGCAGGTCTTTCCTGGGTACCTGTTGGGTGCTCAGCCTTGGGGAAGCGCAGTGGGGAGAAGTGGTTAATTCCTGGAGTCCCCGGGTGAAATAATAGTGCAGGGCATCAGCGGGTGATTCGGGCCCCACACTGAACAGCACACAGTCTTCTTTGATTCCTTGTGCCATGTGAATAGGTCTTCATCGAGGTTTGTGTCAGGTAGGGTTTATACCATTGAGACTCTTTTTTGTTTTTCTTCTTGAAGAGAAGGATTGTTTTTGTCGCAGGGAATTTATTTGTATTCATTTCCTGATGATGCTAAGGTGCCTAGACTATACATTTTGGCCATTTATTTGTCTTGCATGGATTTCTTGAGTCCAAGTTACGGGGGAGGAACCCTGCCACAATTATCAGGATATCCCTGACTTCTGGACATCTGTGACATTTCCCATTTCCTTTGTCGGGAATTTGTGCTCCGTCAGCGATTGGAGCCTAGTTCATCTGTCATCTCTGACAGTCAGAAGTTTGCATTTGACCTGTGTTAGGTGGACTGAATCATTCTCTGGCAGTAGGTCCTAGACAGTGATGACTATCATCAGGGGACACTACTCCCCATACCCCAACCAATAGTTTTGAATCTCAAGCCATCCAAAGCCTTAATAACTAGGTGCCTTTATCTTTCAGCCCAGCAGCAACAGGCAATTTGATACCAGTCTAGTAAGGCTTAAGTGGGATGTTAGGGGAGACAAGAGATAGTTTCAAATCTGGGCATTTGCTTCCAGGTCTTGCCTGCCCAGTGGATCACAAGTGCTGGAAGAACCGGCAGGTGCTGCTGAGCGGTTGGACAAATACCTCTAGATTTTTCCTACAGAAAAGTGTTATTAATTTTGGTGTCACTCATTCTTCATCTTTTCTTGGTGCCTCATAATCTTCTACTTACAATAAAAACTAGCATTTATTGAGCAGTGCTTGGCACCATTCTCAATAATGTGTCTGTTACCTCGTTTACTACTCCCCAAAGAGGAGTACTCTATCATTTTGCTTATTTGACACCATGGAGAAACTGAGGCTTAAAGAGGTTAACTAATTTTCTCAAGGTCAAGAATTTTGTAAATGGCAGAGCTCATCAGTTTGAACCCAGGGAGTCGATCTCTAGATTCTTCTTATTTATTGATTATTGATTATTGTATGTTGCATCCCTGTGGGTTCTATCTTAGATGAAAACAGTGTCCATAGGAAAACTCTGATAAGGTGGATATGTGGGATGTGGGATGTTAGACTGTCATCACGGTGTCCTGATACAGGAATGAACACTTTCCAGTTGCTTGCTTGCTTTATAGCAACTTATGTATTGGATTAAATTAGTTATAGTCAAACTTAAAATGTTTAGCTGCCTTATTTCCTAGCAAAACAGAATGTCAGAAATGGAAGGGGCCTTTGAAAACATTTAATTTTATTTATTAATTTAATTACAACTACCTAATTACAGGAGGCTTTTGAAGTGGTTCAATGAAACTAAAGCATGACAAGACAAAAAGGAAGTAAGAAAGTCCAGGAAAGGGAAAACAAGTATTTGAAAAACTAATTTAAAACCAGAGGTATCTTGCTTTAAGGCCTTGCATACTTACAAGTTCCAGACCACATATTTAAATATCAGTTACTATCAACTGATGCAAAGAAGGGAACTGGGCTAGATGCTGGTCAACAACATAAAAGCAAACCCCTCTGCTCAGTAGGAACTTAAGTAGGAAATTGAAGAAGTCATGTAACTTAACCTGCCTTCATATCCTCAACTGCAGCTACAGATGTTGTATTGATGATGTCTGAGTTCTTCTCCATCTCTAACCATCTAGGATTTATGCCTCATTCAAACTTAGTGCACATTTTCTAATTTTAGAGGGGAAAATATCTGTGTTTTCTTAGATTTGCATTTCTTTTTTTTTTTTTTTCTAATTTCCTGACCTTTTAAATCTAGTAAGCCCACTTGTTGCTCTATGATTGAGAAAATTATATATTTATGGCCATTTGACCCAATAAAGAATTCATGTTACAAAAAATGTACAATGAAGTGTCTTCCATGGAGTAAGATAAAATCCTAGTATTCATTTATTATTACAAACTGAAGATCTATCAAAAGTCAGGATAAAGCATCTCAATATGACAGGGTAATAAATAAAACATTTTTATTCAGTTTACTCAAACTTATTTTATCCACAACTTTTAGAAATTTAGGTAACACATAAAGGTAGGTCCCTGTGTCTGAGAAAATTGATAACAGCTGTAAATGTGCAAAAGCAGTTAGAAAGGATAAGAGAGGTTGTGCTGCAATAACAACCAACCAAAATCTTGATGGATTAATAAGATGTTTATTTCTCCCTCACAAAATGTTTTCTGTACATCCTGAGACTCTCTGGGTAACTTTTTACCAGGCTGATTCAATATGGTGACTCTGTCATCTCAAAACTAGGCCTCCACACCCACCCTGCAGGAGAGAGGGCCTGGAGAATCTCACAGGGCATTTGCATTTCCTTGATCCTGAAATGACATCATCATTTTTACTCGTATTTAATAGACCGGAACTGGTCAATGGCCGCATCTAATTTTTTTTTTTGAATGCCCAGACAAGAAAGGAGAATATGGTACTGGTTAGAATCAGCAATGCCTACCTCACTGATATAAATATTTTTTAGCCCCAAAGCCCTGCAGTAGCACAAATTAGACTTCTAGTGACTCATTTTCTCTGAAATTATAGGAGTTATTACTGAGATTTCTGATAATTTTTATCAATTTTATAATTAAACTTTAAAAACTCATTTGTACTGTCATTTACATTTATATTTATAAACCACATTATGATTATGTAAGCATCCTTAAAAGTTATTTTTAAGTTTTTTTTAGGTAAAATAAAGTTTTAAGAGCAAAGAAGAGTAGTTTGAAGTTGTTTTATGTGCATTATATGTATGTTTTGCTAATTTCTGTAGATTTAAATTTTTCACACTGCCTGTTTTAGAAAAAAATAAGCAATTAGAAATTAATTTAGAAATAAAGGCTGTATAATCTTCATTTTGTAGTGGTGCTTTGGTAAATAAGTGATTACCTTAGAGCTTTAAATTGCAATATAACTCATTTTCCATTTTGCTTATTTTTTACAAATCAACAAAGAGTCAATCTTTTTCCTTTTCTAGCCATCAAATACTCGGTGCCGTCTTCTTACTGTATTCTGAATGGGCTCACTTGTTTTCACTAGTCTTTGCTCGGTATCAGAATTTGTAGTTGATGTGGCTCATTTATCAGCCAACTATGGAGAGATTCTGAAAGATGTTTTGTCATTTTCCACTGTCAAAATGATGCATTCGCTTTTGTCTTACTTGCTTTGAAAGAGCTTGAGTTGCACTTATTTTGCAGGATAAAGCATGAGAATAAATGATAGAAAACTAAGTAAACAGAGAAAAAAAAGAGCAGAGCTCAGAAAACCAAAATCCAGGGGGCTTCATTTTCAAGTACATGTTTTAGAGTTAGAAGGGATCAAATAAAATGCCCACAGCTACTTTTTTTAGATTTGATGTATCACCTGCTTGCATTCTGACTGTTACATTGGATACTACAATTCTAGTGGACAGAGAGATGGAAAGAGACGTCACTTCCTTTCTTCTTTGACCCATTTAGGCTTCGTCTATAAGAAAGCAGATGACAGCCATGGTTAAGACATGGTACATGTAAATTAAGGCAGAGCTTCAACACTGGAAGCACATAATATAGGAAAATTGTTTATTTGGTCTTTTATTTTTCCTGCTTTGAGTTCTGTGGATGTAATTTTTCAGCTGTTTTATTTTTTCACTTGTCATAAAAATAGGAACGGATGGAGATGTGGTACCTGTAATTCGCTAACAGAATCTACTTGTTACAAAACCCCCAACTCTGATGTTGATTACAGGAGACAATTGGGGAACGTATCAACAGTGCAAAAGTTTTTAGTAAATAAAATCATCCTCAGAGACCCTAGAATAACTAGCTATTGTTATAATTTAAACCAATTTTATTATGCAAAAGTTTACTTTTCTACAAAGAAAGTATTCAATCAAACTTGCTCATTATTTGTTTTGTAAACTTGGATGTTCGTGTTTATGAATATAAACATCTAGCTAATATGTATCATTTCTGGAGAAATGCCATACACAAAACAAACAAACAGACAAACACAAAACTAGAGAAACTTTGATTCAAATCTGGGTTAGTAACTCCAAATTATTTTCTGATTTCAATTATTTAACTTTGAGTTTTAATTTCCTCAGTTGGAAAACTAAAGATAATATAATCTGAACTTCAAAAGATTGTTGTAAGATTTAAATATAAAAACACTTAGCAAAGTCCCTGGCTCATGGCACATTTTCAATAAATGTTATTCTCATTGCTCTTTGCTTCCCATTAGCATAGTTTTCCCTGCTCAATGTAAGATACACTGTGAATAGCAACTATGCACTATGCCAGTGGTGCCCCTTGGAGGCCCGTGACAGTATTTTGGTCTGTCATTCTCTGAGAGCCTCTTTTTGTCCCTTTGGGAGATTTTGCTTCCACCCACTTATCTTCCCCATTTTTATGCCTTTTACAGACATGCAATTAATTGAATGAACACTATACTCTCTTTTTCGTTGAAACATGCATGGACTTTTTTTTCCACCTGCTTTCCTCTATTTCTCTCTCTCCTTTCTTGATCACAGCTATTCCATTTATAAGGAACCAAATTATTTTAGTGTTGATCAATAAATGTTAAGAGAATGGTTCTTAGCCTGGGTCTCTCTATCAAATGGTGGATAGCCATCAGTTTTGGAATTAAAGAAGTAGGGAAGATTAGAAATTATATTAGAGAAAATAAATCATAAAAATCATAAAATAAAGAAACTTTGGAAAACATCTATACAACAATCCCTTTAGGGTTCATTCAACAGTAAAAAAAATAATTAAATACTTTCTGGGGTAAAGAAGACAAAAATCTTTGCACAAAATTTGTGTATGAATAGAGGAGACAGTAAATGAGTAAGTCAAGTGAGAAGTAAATAATATAATTCTTTATAAAAACTGTGAAGAAATTGACCCAGGGTGATAATACAGATGCTGTGTGAGGTAGGGAGGGTCTCTTTTAGATACTCAAAGAGGGGGCCTAAGAGACTTTGATAGTGAGAAGGATTTCAGCATTCAAAAATCGCTTGGAAATGTGTTCCTGACTAATGGAACAGCAATCATTAAGTCCCAGTGGCAAGAACAAGCTCAGAGTCTTCAAAGAATAGCAAAAAGCTGGTGAGTCTGGGATCTAACGAATGAGGGGGGAGGTAGGGGCTGTCACTGATGAGAATCTCCAAATGAATCCTCTGTCTCTCTTTCATTTCCTTAAATTCCCTATTTTTAAGAGAAAATTTTAAAAAATGATTTCCTAATTTTAATTGCTTTTGATTTATTTAATTACTGGTATTCCAAAACCATTGCTTCCTACTATTTTCATTTTATTTGGTTTAAATAATCTTTTGAAAGACCAGCCTGGGAACTAACCCACATTTATACTATTTTTCTGAGAGAAAATATTATTCAAATTGCATAGAAAATTTTGGAGCATAGTTATTTTTAAGATGGGGACAACCTGCATTGGAGTGTCTTAAAACATGTCCTAGATTTATCAAAAAAAAACCCTCATTACTCCAAAATTTTATTTTCTACTCAGGCTGTACTGAAGATTACATTTGTCCTATTATGAAGGCTTTCTACAAAATTTCCCATAATAGTAGATTTAGAGTTGGCACATTCAGTTTAATTCTGGTGTGCAGACACTTCAACACATTAATGCAGGTGGATTTTGGTAATTTCCGCAGAATTTTTATGTGTTCATGAAAATAGGATTGGCAGGGCCTCCGTTTGGAAACCCTCTTCCAAAAGATGCCCCAAAAAAGTTTTTCCTTTGTTGTTGTTGTTTTTCTGTCTCCTCATTTAGCAAGTTAGTTTTGTTTTGAGAAGAGAAAGAACCTAGTCATTGATCCAAGTCCTTCTCACTTCAATATTAAAAGAAAAAAGAGCTAATGGTGCTCATTTATCATACTGGTCCCTGTTTTACCTTAATCAAATGCTGATTTTCCACATTTTCCTTTACACACCATTCTTTCCATCTCCTACACCCTGTCAAATTTACAAGTTACCTTTGCGCTGATCTATGCTTAATTTAAAAGATGTCTTTGCCAATATGTACTGTAGGAAATGCACCTGGGTTGAGATCGATGCCTTAGTTTGTAGAACTTAAGAGTGGCGTGTAGCTATGAGTCATTGCCTTGAGAGGAGAGGGGCACCCACGGTAGAGATGATGTGTACCAGAGTTAGACTCACGAGGGCATCTATCAGAAATACAAAGGCCTGTCATCATCCTTTCCTGACTGGTCCCTCTGTCTCCTGTCTCCTCTTCCTCCAGTATATCCTCTGACCAGCAGCACTGTGACCTAGCAGTATACTCACTGTGTCAGATCGTGATCCCCTCACTTAAAAATCTTACAATGTTACCCATTATCTATAGCAGGGATTTGCAAACTATAGCCACAGGCCAAATCTGTCCACTTGTCTGTTTTTATTGATAAAGTTTTATTGGAACACCACCATGCCCATTCATTTGCATATTGTCTATGACTGCTTTTGCCCTACAAGGTCAGCGTTAAGTAGTTACAGCAGAGATTGTCTGGCAGAAAATATTTACTATGTTGCCCTCTACAGAAACTTTTTGCTTACCCCTAGCCCACATGATCAAGTTCAAACCCTAAGCACGGGACTTCCCAAGCTGTCTTGACTATAACCAACTCCTCCAGTGGATCCTTACTCCAAGCCACTGTGGATAACTTGTTGTTCCTCCAGCATGCTGCCTACTCCACACTTTTGCACTCACTGTTTATAATTCTTTCACCTGCACCCCTGCAACCCCAGTAGCTCTGAACCAACCTCCTCTACACTGGCGCCTCACCATCTTGGCTTTTTAGCTGCATTTCTGGCACAACCTTTTAGCATTGCTCAGGACACCTTACACCTTACACCTTACTCTGTCATCAGCCACTTCTTTCTTCTTTGTGTGAACCCTGTCTGCATAGTCAGCCTCCAGAGCATCTTGCTGGAGTCCAGTTCATTAAGAAGCACACAATGGGTGTTCAGTAAGTAGGTGTTTAATAGACAGTAAAGAAGTGAAGTGGCCATTCTACATATAAGCAGAACAAAGGACATATTTGGGTAAAGCAAGTGCTGTCACATTGTCGCATTAATCTTTGTATTAATGTTGCTCGTTAAGCACGTTAATCTACTGTGTATGTGAACTTCAGTGGAGACAGATAATACTAGAAACAGAAGCAGCAAGCAGCAGGCTCAGCAGCAGGTAATTCTGAGCATGGCCTTGCCTGGCCTCCAGTGTGCCAACAGCTAGCATCCAATTTCCTAGTCATCTCCTAGAAGACCTGGAACGAGGCAAGTGGGAACAACTGCCAGGTTGCACCCTGGGACAGGTGCAAATGGATGCCTGAGTTCCAGGTATCCATCAGAAAGCAAATATCTGCCCTTATCCTCTCTTGAGGATAACTTGCGCCTACCCTCAGAGAAAGTAGGAGGAGACGTTTGCTTTCTGATTATGCCTGCCCCGTAGCCCAACCTCTGTTTTAACTTACGTGTGTGGATGTGCTTGGGATGGATGAGTCTTCTTTGAAGGACACATTTTGACTCCATTGGTCAAATCCTTTTCCAAAATATTAACATTTAATTTTAATTTGCCATGGCATGTATTGGTAAAAATGGTCAAGACTCCCTTAAATTTTCAGCAAATACCAATGCCAGCTCAGACACTATTGCTGTAAGATGCCCTCAGTGAGCTCACAGTTGAAAGGTGGAAATACTGCCTTGGCTTCTTCCTCTGAGAACAAAGATTCCCCAATGGCTGCTGAACATCCTCATGGCCTGGAGGATTATCCTTTTCATTTGTAATTACCATTTGCTACCCACCTGTGCTACAAAGCTTGGCCCCTGCACCTACCTGCAGCACTCTATGTGGCATATGGTGCGATTCTTCTTTGGTCTTCGGCAGAGTTGGAGGTAGGACCATGGACAGCCTCTCTAGTGACGTTCCAAGATTATAAGCTAAGTAAAGAATCCATTCCATAGCATTCTCTAATCCTACTCTTTTCATCTCTCTGCCTTTTTGTGTGCCGCCAGGCATTGCTTCTCTGGGAAGTCACATGCAGGTGGATTTGGGATGGAGCAGCTAGCTATCTGCTTACATTTTAAAACCCATTGTTGTCATCTCCTCTCTGCCCAGGCCTAGTGATATTCCTACTCACCAATGGCACGTGCTCTCTCCTATTCTATGTCTATTTAAATATATACCTGTTGACTGTTAAGACCTACAT